TGCTACTTCGTCACGTTTACTGTGATGTCGGCGCGCTTCTCGATGGTTTATCCGATGCGTGCCAAGGTGCCTATCCCAAAATATGTACCGTCGCGTCGCACCAGCAATTACTTTTATAGGGTGTCGCGTGCGAGAATGGGCCCGTGGTGCGGGTACTCAATGAACTAGCCATTCCTAGATCGGTGGTAGTCAAGCGGCAGATGTCGCGAGTCTTCGCACAAACTAGTCAGGTAACTAGATTGTAAAAACCTTTTGTAGCCGGCAGGTGGCTTTCTCTTTTCCGATATCGTCAAAAGTAATTGAATTTACGGGGTATCCGTACAGGTCCCCCACGGGCTTGCCGTGCACTACGCGCAGGGGAATCTTTGACTCTAAAAGTCCGCTAGTATTGCATAGAGCATGGACTCATGCGCGACGACTCATTCAACAAATACAGGTTTCTCTCAGCTATAGTTGTGCATGTTTTTATATACATCTATATGTTTCAGTACCTACAAAAATATTATAATCCCATATAATGTATAGCTTTGGGCTAGCAGCCAAAACCTTTTTTTCTCGGAGTTCTATCGCCTCACCATCGCACTTCATCAAGAATACTCTTTGCCACTTCAAAAACTTTTTGGCTCAAGATTCAATTGCGATGTATAATATCATAGGGTGTGTACCCTTTTATGCCCAGCACCACTAGGCCGGCCTACTGAAGTCACAATCATTTTCTTTCCAAGGCATTGCACATAAAGTCAGTGCTTCTCGAACACCCATTTCGTTTATTGCTCGGCCCATTGAACCTAATAGGACCAGCTCTCGCGACCATACTTCACACCGAGACACTTACCCTTAACTTGATCGCATTGCTCAGCACACCGTCGAGAAAGGCGCACTCCTGCATCCGAAGACAAATGACCTATACTCTGCGAGGCAGCGAAGCCATTTTTAGTCACAGCCACTTTTCGGCACCTGTACTGTAATGGGCTACACTTAAATATTACACGATGGTCCATCTGTGTACCTTCTACTTCAAATCAGCACTGTTGAAGTGCTAATCAGCACGAGTTGTAATGTTCAAGGCGGGTTTCCATAAATATTATGGGCCGATCCGCAAGCAACTGCTCCGTGTGTTCCCTATAAATCGGACGAAGCCACCAATCATGAAGAGTTCAGCAGCATGCAAGCCACGTCAAATTCTTACCAAGACAAGCGCGTCAGTCGAATGCTGCAATTGATGAAACAGAGCCAATGGTAACTCGTACATTTGTACGCCTGATGGTGAGCATTTTTGCAAGGATGGAAAGTTTTTACGCTGTGGGAAGCCGGATTGTATTGCCCGGAACTAGTTGTTGAGTCGGCAATATACTCAGGGTGCCTGTTCGGATAGTCGTGGAAGTTATAACGGTTAACGATCTTTACGCATCCAAAGTAATGACTAGTAGGGGTGAGACTGCCGAGAAGAGTACTGTGGTTGCTGTGGATACACTTAGCTCTACCCCAATGTGTATTATGTATATGCAGTCCCCACAAGGAGTGGTATTGCATGTTATTTTTAGTTGTCCATGAATTCTCTGTAGATGGCTGCAAGAATCCACTACGAGCTTTAATTGACACTGGCGCGTCGAACAGGTTTTTTATATTCGAGCGCAAGTCTTTTGGGTATTGTTTTGGCCTGCCTAATGTAGAAAGAGAAATGAACCGTGCTTAGCGGAATAATTTTTAAAAAAATACCAGATCAAGTCATTTGCTTGGCTATCAAGTTTATATGTTGCCGAGGCGAAGAGAGTTTATACGTCTCGATCTCGATGACAAGTTTGATATCTCTATAGACGTTGTTTTCCGTATGCTTGGTCTTCCTATTAAGATGGTGTCTGACCACGACACCAATTTCACATCAAAACTTGACGTGCACTATTTGGACTATCGGAAATCAAATTGCCCATGTCTACAGCGGCCATTCCTGAAACGGACGGTCAAACGGAACGTGTGAATCGAAACCTGGAAAAAATACTGCGAGGTTATGCTACGTCATTCAAAGAGAATTTTGTTATGGCGTCCATAAACTGCATTTGTGACATCATATAGAAGTCGCAAACATTCTGTGTGATACAGATTACTGGTTCCAAGTGGGGGATTTGTACTGGTGACGAGACCGACAAGTCTCTGTCTTTTAAATTAGTCGTCGTAAGCCAGTCACATATGCTGAGAGCTTTCCTCAGAAGTTTAAGCTCAAGCTTTTCGAAATCAAGCTCCGTACACTCCAGATCTTGCATAAGTTCAAGTTGGGGTTCAGCCTCCGTACACCATCGACTGTATAAATCAGATTGATCGATACCAAAATTTACATCGTAATACAATTACGAGCCCCTGGATGTTTTGCATGTAGCTCTGGAAAGCATTAATTTACTTTAATTCAATTGCAAATTTGCCTTGAAAGCCTCACGTCGTTTTTTATCCCTCCAAGTCGGGACGGTCCTATTCCCTTCACATCGGGAATCGCACCCTAGTCGCGCAATTGTGTGTGTTATGTTTAAGGGACTGTTATGAATAACGTCCTTATACAGGTACTGTCACCGGAGGCCATATCGCAATTTTGCGCTCTGCCTGTAAGTTCCAAAAGAAATTGGCGACTTATGCTCCCCACCCCACTTCTGTACAAGTTGCATACTCTGTGCCCGTTCCCTCCGGCGGGGAGGGGGTGTTTTAGCACCCCTACCGTAGAGCGTACGATAACGTTCAGTTCCAGAATTAAATGCAAGACCGAAGTTCTCGGATAGGGGTCTTTATCACCCTGGATGTGAGGTATCATGGTTGTAAAAGAAGCAGAAAAATGTTGCATTTGAGTCGGGCTTGCAAATCAAGAGCTACAGCAGCTTTCGATGTGGTCGTAACATATCACTTCGTAGATATGGATACAATATAACAGAAGTCGATCGCTGCGAAGCGCTAACGAGCGGCAATCGCTCGCTCAAAATAAGAGCAGTACGAGCGACCAATAGTTGTGTTAAGAGTGCAATCGTCTCAGGGGTACCGCTGCCACCTAAAGCAGCTGTGGGTGATTAATCTCTTACCAGCGCTGAGGATCGTCCCTCCAGTGCTGGCAATTGCAAATTACTCCATTCGCGCGCTTAAAGAGAAAAATTACCTTGACTTACCTAATTAAGCTTTTAAGTCAATATCAGTGAGGCATACGTCATACTGTACCGTCTTTTGGTACAAAATACGATGCAAGACATAGATATCGAGGTGGGGATCTTTGTATCCAGTTCTTGGTGTAAGCAGCCCTGCTCGTCTCCGTGAAACTGCCGATACAGCTCTCAACGGAGTATCCAGCTTATGACAAGACCATTTTCTGGGGCACGCTGCCTGCGCGACCCAGTCTCGTCTCCTGAGAAGGCCAAGACAAGAGAAATGACAAGTCGTCATGGGAACAGCGCCCGAATTATCTCTTCAACGTTGACCTCAAACTCGATCGAGGAGCTCACCGTGAGTCATCTCACCCGCTTCATCAGATTCTGGTTACAGCCCTACTAAACCCAGCGACCATTACCTGTCCTGGATGGAAATGAGCAATTTCTTGCTCATCGAGGAGGGTCGGTATGAAAGACTTTCTCGTGGATGTCTCGCTCAAGGTCTATTGGGTATGGCGGCGCGTTAATTCACCCCAAGTGTCGCAATCTACGGCTGATACTATGAATATTCGTCCAGATGCAATCTCTGAGCAGCCTTATCGAAGCGGTCATCTTGAGGCGCCCCAATCGGTTGAAAACTGTATTGTTACTGTATAATAGAAGAAAGCTAACCGCATATGTGCGCACGTATAAAAACGTGACAACGGATTAAATTCTCACTGCTAACACTGTTACATTTGGCTATCTTACCGATTCCGGCAAAGTGATGATAGTCATCATTATGGACTTTATCCTCGATCAGCCAAAAAGCGCGTCAGATAAACCGGGATTATGGTCTTTGCGGAATGTCCAAGCGAGGCAAATCGTCTCGATGCTGCCGGCGATAGTTTGACCGGTGATGATACAGCCAAGCTATTTCTTGACAGAGTTCGGTGTCAATCCTATCGGAAAGAGATTACAGCAAACCTTTGACGGAAATTGTCCAAAGGAACCGGGCCCAGATTGGATTTCAGATTGGGTTTTCGACAGCTGATCATCCATGAGAAAATAAAAGATCACACAAGATGCGTGTATCGCGCAGATAGAGCGCGGTGCTGAAGCGAAGTCACATTGCGTTGAACATCGCACTAGATGCCTCTATACGCCTTATCTCATCTTACGAACATAGTTTGTTGATACCCTGGTACCTATGATACCGCCACAAAATGGTTCCGGTCTTTGTTGGAGAGGGGCTGACGACGTGCGAACAGCAGCCCAGGTATAATTCATAACGATATTAGTGACTAGATCATAAAGAGATCGAGCGTGAAGCGAGAGTGAGCGATGCTCTGGCTGAGAGCCAAGACAAATTAACTCAACACTTCGATTCTAAACGCAGGCGAAATATGGTTTGGGACAAAAGGTGTTATTATATGTAGTTCAGATACCTGCGGTCTGAAGCCCAATTTGCGACCACGCTCAATCGGATCGCTCATGTTCGTAGCAAAATGGGATGAGGTCATACTCGGAATATCCAGTAATCGATGCGAACACACCCAGTGCTCGATGTGAACTTACTCGAGCCACAGTATGATCCCGTTCTTACAGGCCGGTTGTGCGTGAACGTTTTTGTAATTGACGAAACAACGTCTCTATCTTCACCTGTAGCTGATCTACCATCTGCTTCAAGGAAGCGGTGCGGTCTGGAGCACTGGGTGCCTCATCAGTGCAATGACAAAGCCCAAATATAGATCTGGCCTACCTTATCTTCGAATACCCACCAAGACTCTCGCCGTGAGTCAATATGTTGCCACAAAAGACGAGAGCCAGCACTGTAGGGTCCACCGTCGACCTCTGCCGTTACTGCTCTATGAGCATGAGGTGGCCTGGATTGTTCGGTAGACCGGTGGGTACGCCAGAAGTTCTATCATTGTCTGGGAGGTAAAAAGAATACCTTTACTTGAACTAATCATGGGAATCGAGATCCCACTGCAGTAGCATTCCCCTAAGCTTACGTCCTGGAGTACCAGGGCCTCTATACAATGGAGAAGAGGTCGAAACGCCTGTCGCAACACGCTTTCCAGCTGTGGGTTACGACCAATCGCGTGGTGAGTAATTTTCTTTTGTAAGTAGCTCGTATAGCTTTTCATGGAAACAATCGGGCATGACAGTGATGAGCTCTCAGCTAGACGTCGGCATCGATTATGGTATTTGCAAAGTCAAGCATGAGGCGATGCTTAAGGTGAGCACTCCCTTCGCAGTAGGTTGAATGCTTTACGACGATCAAAACAGCTTTTTACCTCGCCTAGTGTGCGAATTTAGTTCATTACCCAGCGGTACTCTCGCCAGTTTCTACATAGTAAGGTATATGACCTGGGTTTTCCTAGCTTCTCCCGCTCCAAGCGCAGATGGTACTCTCGGGGAGCGATGTCCAGCAGTTTGCAGTAGCGCTTGTGAAACAAATTTCTCGCGCTCAGTTGTTCTGGATGTCAGCGGAAGGCAGCTGTAGAATATTTGAGTGACTTTGAACAGTTTGAAACCATTACCACGACCTAATTTGTCAAAGCTTGGTGTGACTCTTGTGCTTGGAGTAATGCAATGTGGTCAGCTTGGGCAAGGTTCAGATGTTAGTAACGAGCTGATCAACATCGTAGATTGTAAGATGGGATGTCGAAACGCGTTCCACCGATATAAAGATCGAGTTTACGACTCAGAGGCTGAGCACTGTAAACACCTCCTTCTTTCGAAAATACCGAACCGTGTATCGCTGGGGGAGGCTGAAAATATCTGGTCGATACTCAAAGAGTTCCTGGGACCGCTTAAATGGAAACGTCTTGACATTCACTTCGAGTATTTCTCAACGCGTTAGTCTTGAAGAGCGCGCTTTTAGCGAGGCTCGTTGAGCCATATCATTTTTCGCCCTGGAGCGAATTTCCGGTGCAAGTACGCTCATAAAGCAAGTACGTTAAAGTGAGTGATACTTGGGCGTAGTGGTGACTCTTGGATTTTTTTGCGCAGTCTTAAAAGCAAAAATAAGTGTGAATCTTAGTGTGGTCTATATCTTAATTAAGGAGGTTGTAACGAGGCAATTGCTTTAATCTTGTGTATTTGACCATTTTTAACAATTGTACGATTCTCACACTGCACCTGGAACAATAGTGAATGTTAATGAGTGGTGAAATACCAGTATTTATTCGGATTACAAGTTTTTAGAACGTCCTAGGTGCAGGTGGGCTGATAGCCGCATTAAAAAAGAGAGACAGTTTTGCTATGAGGATAGTAAAACGTTTTTGTTAATATTAGCTTACATATTATTAATTCTAAAATATTTGAAATTATCTTGAAATAGCAGAGCAAACATTTAGCGTTAGTTATTTTCGTACGTAAATGAACGACGCTCCCAATTCTATCAGTCCTTTCCACGACTTTACAAAACCTGCGAAGTTGATAAAAAAACCAACAACGCAGGCTGTGAGCTTCATTCCTCACGAAGATGGTCGCTCTTTTTCGAGGCTAGGTCCGAATGACCACGACGTCCACGAGATATGATAAAGCCCAATTCTTTCTTAGAAGGCTGCCTAGCATTGTAAGCGGGCGCTGTTCACAAACAGTCCCTCAAATACAACACACACGCCTAAGCGACAAGAAAGCGATTCCCGACGGGGAGAAAGATAGACAGTCCCGATATGGAGGGAAGAAGATCGACATAGTACCTTCAGGGAAAATCGCAACTACAGTTAACGGACTTTTTTCCTTACTTCATGCAAAAACACCAAAAGGTCTCCTAGAGGTTTTAGAAACAAGATCTAGGGTTCCTGATTTATAAATCAAGGGTTTACTGCGATTAAGCATCAGATTCAAGCGATACGAGATCTTGAATGTACTGAGATTTAACCGCAGTTTCAACTGATTCAAGATCTTGGGTATACGGAGCTTGAACTTAATAAGTTTGAAATTTAGCTTTCGCGGAAAGTATCCAGTAGAGGGGTCTGGCTTACGCCACTCAATTCTAAAGACAGAGACGCATCGAATTCGTCAACAGTTCAAGTCCCCAAGTAGAAACGTAGGAGCACCATACTGTGATATTTGTTTTTAATCAATTCCTACCGTGCATACAGAAGGTACATAAAGTACCTTCATGTAATGGCTAAGTGTAGCATATTACAAGCACCTACCAAGACTTGACGTTTCCCCGCAAAGATCTCGCCGTGTACCCTTGCATGGGAGTCCGACCCTTCGCACTTCTCAGCCAAAAGCAAAGGGAGCACACATGGCCTATATGTCTTATGATACCGCAAAGCTGCTCGCCAGCTGAGAACTTTTCCTATATTTCCTCAGTATATCGCCTCCGGCGCGCGCGTAGAGCGTTTCTTCTCAGCACCGCGAAAGTTCCACTCCGTATGATTTGCAACATCATTGATTCTTTAAATAAAATAGGGAGAACTTGGTGCTGACCGCAATCGTTTGGCAAGCTTCAAGAAGATGATAATCGTTACCGCCTGCGAAAGAGGCTCGGACGCCATTGCGGCGACTAGAGCTCTTAAATCCTAGGAGCTCTTATCTTCCTTGACGTAGAGAGGAAACGCACCCGATACGCCTAGGTACACAATGCGAGCACCCGCGACATCTGACGTTTCAAATCATCTTAATTTTTTAAAAAACCTCTTGTATCAAAATATCACACGTTCATGCTCATTCATGCGCGAGATCCTTAATTGAGGATCTCTGGCGCTACGCAGTACGGCTCCATTTAATGAAAAAAATCCACGATCAGCTCAACTTAAATTACTCAAATGGAGGAATTTTATCCAGACCCTATAATGCTTGGAGGCTCAACGTCAGCGGTCTATCTTTAAGGTTTAAATGTCGTTCAGAATGCTCGATGCCAGAATGGTTTTGACATTTGCTGACTTTTCGTATAAAGATAGATACTCTGATGTAACGCAAGCTTTGCATTTTGGAAGACACTTCTAGAAGCCCATTCGCGGTAAGACTGCGGTGTTCTGGCAG